TGACGGTTGCTCCGCTAATTTAACTTAATTAAACCATTGAATTGCATATTCAAAGCAATTAAATCTTCATCTATTTTTAAAAATCTAGATCTAAAATTTGACTAAACTTCGATAATGCAATAATAAATATGAATATATGAAATGGAGCTAATACATTTTTCATTTTGTTGGTTGTTTAGATAAATTGTCTCGTATAGCATCTACCCTTATGTAAGGCATAGCCTTATTTAGTTTATGCACTTAGTATTTATGGTAATCCAAAAGCTTTCAGAATTTGCATAAGGGATGCTTAATATTTTGACGCCTGAAGTTATTACGAAATCTTTGAAGTTGTCAAAACTTCACTGAAATTAAAAACACTCTGGATCTTCATGAAAAATAGGCTATCATACAGTTTATGGGTCGTTCTAAGTTAAAATAGATGACATGAAAGCATATTTTTTGATTCATTCTGAATTTTATAAAAAAAATCTAAAAATATTAAAAAACTTAATAAGTGGCTTATAGCTAACATTTTAGTTAGGCGCTCTTTGCGTATTTCTCTCCCTAATTTGTCCCTTCCCCCATGTCCCTTATTACTATTGACAGATCTCTCATTGTCACAGAACAGGTGCGTATTTTTAAGTTAAATAATTGTTTAAGGATTCTGATGAAAATGTGCACATCATGGAAAATTATGATCAATCCTCACGGAGTAGCCAGAGTGAGGATTTCCTAATGTGCAAAGGAAGTATTGTTAGTCTCAATATCAATTCGAGGAGACGATCGAGTGATATAAAAACAAACGACGATATACAAGACCACCTTAAGAAAATACTCGCTCTTTTGCGTTTCGAAGATTTTATTAAACTAGTTTGTTTCTCCTATCAAATTCAACTTGTCATAGGTTGTTAGGCTGCAAAGCAGTTTTACGAAACCATACTGCTACCGCTATTTATGCATAGTTTCTACAAATGGCAGGCAAGAAACGGAGGAATCAGCTATTATTGGTCTTGATATTAAAGATGGAAAAGTATCAATTGGTCTTGTGCTTCCGATATGGCAAGATATGGTTATTCATCTTGGCGGTGATGGGTAAGCTACCATTTACATGGAGCTTTTTTACTGATATCTCTTTTAATCAATTTTTTCCTTAAGGGGCTTTCGTGTGGTCACCAAAGAGGTTGAGAAGCTATTCAAGCCAATCTCTGTTCAGGCCCTTTGGGCTGCTTTCCAGGCGGTTAATAAGAGCTGTCAAATTGCACGAGAAAATTCATATTTTGCTAAAGGTCTTAATCATTCCTGGATAGGGTATTACATTTCTTTGCCCTCATCGGATCATTTTCAAATGCAAGATTGGCAACAGTTGGACGAAGCAGACTCACTGAACAAGCAGCCAGACCCTCCAATTTATTTGACAGATGATGCTACGGAAGAGGAGTAAGTGGATTTGCTATTTATACCATTTTTAATTAGTCAATTTTGCTGTTATTCTGCCATTTTCAGTTAAAATTACCTTAGTAATATACGTCTGCTTATGTGCGTAGCTGTTATTCCCCCTTATTTTATTCAGATTGGTAAAAAATCGGTCTGATTGAAGTGGGTTGACCTCATTGTCGCAACTTGGTCTTGTGTTCAGGGAGACTATCTAGAACGCACCGAGTCCGAAGTCGTCTGCCATAG